CTATCTTTAAAATATTGATTTCTTAATTTTGGGTTGGAAAAGTGGGGGTCATCTTGTACATTGTCGGAAAAATACGGTATGTTCCTATTTTGTATGAAGACTATTTAAGTGCAAATATATTTGAGTTGCTATGTAAGACTTAGAAACCAGTTTCTTAGGGCAGAAATTTTAACAACCAACACTAATCCAGCTGCACAGTCAAAAAGAGCAAGGCAAAAAAGTGTATTAAACTGTGCAAAGAGTAAGAAAAAGCTTCACTGAAATTAAGCCAATGGGTGAAAGGCAGCCCAACATTATAACCAATACAAGTATCTCTACATTCCACCATAGTCTAATATCACCAGCTGGCTTGGTTGTTTTCTTGAATATCAGCAAAGTGAAATCAAAATGTCGTACCCTGATATCACAAAATTGATCATTCATGAGCTTTTAGCCAAATCATTACAGAAACCTTTGGAGACAAAGTCCCATTTCCTTATGCAAAAACCAGCCAACTGCATGCCCTAGATTTTCACCTACAGGCAGTCCTCAGTTAACGACAGTAATTTGGACCATAATTTCCATCACTAAGTGATGCAGTCGTAAAGCGCAATGTCACGTGACTGCATTGCTTACTGATGGAAATCCTGGCAGTCCCCATTGCCATTGTTAACCAAATCCCACCTGTCATTAGGTGAGGCCCACCCCGATCCAAGCCATTCCCAGCTTGGTCCCTCCTAGCCCTGAGCCTAGGTAAACCCAAGGCTTCTGTTCAGATGCCAGCCAGGGCCTCCATCTGCGCCCCATGCAGGGCCTCCATTCATGCGCTGCCCAGAGCCTTCTTTCGCAAAAGAAGCCCAGTGCACAAAAGAAGACCCCAACTAGAAGGGTCCTTTTTTCATGCTAGCGCAGCCAGGGCCTTCTTTCACGCACAGGCTTTTTCGTGAAAGAAAGCCCTCGGCAAGGCATGAACAGAGGCTGTGGTTGGCGTGTGAATGGAGGCTCTGGGTGGGGCATGAGAGAAGCCCTGGATGCACTGGCATGAAAGAAGGCAGTGCAAAAGGCCTCAGCTGGTACAGTAGTAGTACAAGGTGCGGTGGGCATGGGCAGGGACAGGCAATGGGGGCAGCAGGCAGCCAAAAGATAGTCGTAAATGCAGGTGGGTCCAAGTGGGCCTGAATTTTGTTCACGTGGGTGCTGCAATGGCCGGAACTTTGAGGACTGGTAGTAAGTCCCTTCGTTCAGCACTGTCGTAACTTCAGTTACTGAACAAATGAATGTTAAGCAAGGACTACCTGTATTTACTTTAATAAACCAGAATTTACTGAAAATTGGTTTGGGGGAGAGTGATGAAACCTGGGAGAGAGCCATATTCTTTTCTAACAAAGTTTCCCCAAGTACCTATAAACTAGCAATAGGGCACTCATGTAAATGATCCAGTCTGGAAATAAAAATGAATTTTATTTAATGAGCCAAAAAAGACAGATGCAATAGTTAATCTAGAAGCTTATAAATGCTTTGCAATGGTATTTATGCTTTTTTTTTAAGTCTTGAATTTCACACACCTCAACTTTATGCAGAACTTGTTCACTGAAATCTTATTTTGTATCAATTTCATGCAAAATGTATACTCTGATTAGGGTTACATTTATATTTTAAATACTAGAAAAACAAGAAGACAACAAATTTTAAATCTGTTTTTAAAAAGAAAGAAGTCTTACCAGGATAACCGGAATGCCCCCAGGGTTCAATAACAGAATAAGGGTGCTTTATGAACAGCAAATGGGCATTGCAGGGCTGTAACGTGGCCCATGGGCTGCTGAACAATTCTGTAAGTTACATAGGTATTTTTTCTTATGGTCACTGACCAGCCAACATAATGGTATAGATAATAGAGCAATAACACATACTCTGACATTAATTTATTAACCTTCACCGAATTTATTACTATAAAAAATGGATCCCTTCCAGTCAAGGTTCAGGCCAGGATATGGGACCAATACAGCACTGATCGCACTCTTGGATGATCTCTGGCGGGAGTAGGACAGGGATGGTACTTGCCCCAATCCTGCTGGCCTTTCGCAAAGCATTAAAAACCTGGCTTTGCCATCTAGCCTGGGGCCCTGAGAGTATGAGTGAGCCCATTTCATGGTTAATTTGAGTGTGGGGTGTTATGAGTGTTCTCAGCTGCTATTTTATGCTATTTATGTTGTTTTTTAATTTTGGTTGTTTTTACTCTGTTTTTAATTGTTAGCCACCCAGAATCATATATAGGAGATGGACAGCCATAAAAATGTATTAAATAAAGTAACATTTAGTGAAATGGATGCATTCCTGTCAAAGAATAAATGATTCAGATCTGAATGCCCTAAGAATTTTGTTATTAAAGGAGTTAAGAGGTGAAAGCAGATATCCCTGTAAAATTGACAATATAAAATAACATGAACTGTGGTTTCAATACCTTCATCACCACAAGGACAAAGTCTCCCCTCCATTACCTTTATGGGGAAACCATTAAAGTGGGCTAAGGATAAGGACCTTCTGAATTATATCAAACTACAATTTGATACAAATATTGGGCTATTTTCTGGCATTGTTTTTTCTAGATCATAACAGGCAACTGGAGGACAACCTAGAATATATTCAAAGTTTGTTTGTTTGTTCATCTGAATTATAGCCTTCCTTTTGCTCCAATAATTCTAAGCCTGCATGACCAATGGCCATAATGATTCTTAGTTCTGGAAAATGTAGTATAACATATGAAAACTGTAGAGTAAAACCTTAATATAGGCATGTATCACAGTTTAAAAACTATCCTTATTCATCTCTCATGGAATCCCACCTGCACTGCACATCTCAGCTCCCTCCCCTTGCCCATCAAAAAAACTATTCAGTTCTGAATATTGCTCTAATCCAACTTTCAAATATAGATAATCTGCCAGCATAAAACAAAAATGAAGCTTTCAAACTTTACTGTTCAAAGAATTAACAGTACATGAAACCCACAGCAACATTCTATAAAATCCAAAAAGTTATTTTTGTTGCTTAACGGTAATTAAAATATGTGAATTTTCCAAGGTTATTTCCAAGGTTAATACTTGGGTTGAGAAAGCATACAATGCTTATGCACAATGACTAAGCAAAAGTGTACAGATTAAAGATTATGCCTGGTCATCAATTCAAAAAAGGTTAAGGGAGTGCATCCAAAGAAATTACACAAGACTGACATGCAAATACAACTGACATTCTGCCCTTGAATCACTTCTGATAATTACACAGTCAAGAGAATG